CGTCATATTCTTCTTTTTCACCCCTATAGTTTCTACTGGTGAAAGCCAAAGTGGTGTTTTTCTTTCCAATAATTTTTTATATTTATCCCATACTCTATATATTTTTTTCCTAATTATACAGTTTATTTATGTACTTTATGTACATTCCCTTTATGTAAATTCTTTATGTACTTTCAACTTTTCATAGCACAAATACGCATGCCAGCCAAGTATATTATCATGACCTTCTAGGTCTAAGATATGTGGATTTTTCAATGACAACCATTCCTTCAACTAGCACAGGCAGGAAGCTTCATAATATAATCTCATATCCAGCAGAGAAAAACCTCCTCTCTCTTTAGCATCTATCAATATTTTATATTTTTTCCTCAGTTTTTCCCTTGCCAGATATATTTAGAAATATATTTTTGCCATTTCTGGAAGCAATCCTCTCTGGTTTCTCTTCAGATCGTATAAATCTTTTGTCTTTTACTTTCATGTCTGGTCTTGTTTGATTAATGGCAGGGGTAGGTCACAAAGGGTGAGGGGGGCTGCTGGTGGCTTAAATTTATCATTGTCAAGGGTGCAGGGAGATCTGTGTTAGAAAGTGGGCATTGATGACTTGGAAAAAAATATTTCAGGGCAGCCAGCCTGCTCACCATAAATGTAGGAGCATTCTGGGAGCTGTTCTAGTGCCCTTCCCAATAGATCTCTCTGTACAAGAGTGTCAGAGCCTGCAGAGACAGCTGTGTCCACTCTTGGCCATGTGCCAATCTTTTGGGTTCTTTTTGTCTTAAAAGGGAAATGCTTTGGTGGCGGCACTTGCAGGATTGTAATGCTTGTTTCTCTGCCCCAGGAAAGAGTAGCTCAGGTCATGGATGCATAGCTCACAGGGTCAGTGTGGTAGATTAGAGATCAAAGCTCAACTACTCCCCCTCCCCCCCGCCACACACAAAATGAAGCTCACTGGGTGATCATCAGCCAGCCAGCCTCCCTCAACCTAATTTACATGACAAAATTGTTGTGAGGATACCTCCAGTGGAGGCTGGTCCATTAGGGTGAATGGGGCCCAGGCCCACCAACCTCCTTCAGCCAGACCCCACCTTTCTGCCTTCTTACTTACAATCCAGAAGGTGATCTTGCCTGTCAGCTTTCTCCTCCTCCTTAGTTTCAGTGTTGCCCTTGAAGAATTCAGCAGGGAGGAGAAGGATGGGGACAAACCTTGTAACAGTTGGCTTAGCATATCATTGGCTCTGGCTGTATCATTGGCTCTGGTGCCTATTGTTGGTTGCCCTGCATTCCACGTCCCAATGGGTACCAACCACCACTGCCCCTCCAATTGTGTCTAATTCTGGGTGCCACAATTTTAAAAGGATGTTGACAAGCTGGAACATGTACTGAGGAGGGCAACCAAGATGATCAAGGGTCTGGAAACCAAGCCTTATGAGGAACAGTTGAAGGAGCTAGGTATGTTTAGCCTGGAAAAGAGGAGACTGAGAGGAGATATGATAGCCATCTTCAAATATCTCAAGGGCTGTCACATGGAAGAGAGAACAAACGTGTTTTCTCCTGCTCTGGAGAGTAGAACTCAAACCAATGGCTTCAAGTTACAGTCATATCTCGGGTTACAGATGCTTCAGGTTGTGCGTTTTCGGGTTGCACACTGCACCGAACTCGGAAGTACCAGAACAGGTTACTTCCTGGTTTCGGTGCTCGCGCATGCAGAGAATCACTAAATCGTGCTTTGCGCAGAAGCGCCAAATCGCGACGCGGTCATGCGCAGATGTGGCGCTGCGGGTTGTGAACGTGCCTCCCTCACGGATCATGTTCGCAACCCGAGCGTCCACTGTACAAGAAAGGAGATTCCAACTAAACATATGGAAAACTTTCTGGCAGTAAGAGCTGTTTGACAGTGGAATGGTCTCCCTTGGGAGGTGGTGGCCTGTCCTACCTTGGACTACCTGCTTTAGTTGAGATTCTTGCATTGCAGGGTGTGTGTGGACTAGATGACCCTTGAGTCCCTTCCAATTCTATTATTCAAGGAGCTCAAGGTGCCATACATTAATTCCCCTCCACTCCATTTTATCCTTACAATAACCCTGTGAGGGGGTTATTCTGAAAGCGAGTTCATGGCAGAGTGGGGATTTGAACCCTGGTCTCCCAGGGTCCTGATCCAGCACTCTAACCACTACACAACAACTGTTATGTTTGCCTGCTGCCAACAGCTGGGCATTCATGATAATTGGTGCTCAGGCCTCAGCCTTGTCTATGTCTCTTAGGTTCATGACGGAGAAGCCTAATTAGTTGAATTGAACTTTGACTACATCTTTTTTAAATGCCTGCAGGCAGCTGAATTTCTACAAAGCTAGAGGTCATGAAGTTCTTATGCCTAGGCAGCAGGGGTTAAGAGACACTTCCCCGGAGGATATTTTAGCTGGCCATTTTCAAGTAGGATGAATAAATGAGCGGGTAGGTGATTATATCTGGGTCAGAGCAGGGGCAGAAGCTGAAGCAAAATTCTCCTCTGCAGCTGTTAATTTGCCTTTTTGTATCTGTTGGTCTTTGTTCCTATGGTATCTCCTGAGGTTCTGCAGATCCTTCAGAGCTTCACAGATAGGGTAGCCATCTGACCTACTTTACAGAGGACAGCCCCCTCTTTGAAGGTGCCCTCTTTCTGAAGGGCTCTCTAGTCTAAATCTTGTTTAAAGACAAGTCTAAGAAGTAGGGGCTGACATGTCCCATGGGGGGGGAGGGGATGTGCTGCCGCGTTGTCCACCCACTGACACCTCCCTTACCTGGGTTGTGTGACATAGCCTGCAAAGAAGCAGAAGCAGCAGCTTCCAGCAAAATATTGCATGCACCATGAGATCTTGTGAGATTTTTGTGCTGCCCCAGGTGCCCAAGCGGCTTCCTCCACCGTTGCGTCACCCTGCCTCAAGGCTGAGCAGGGGGACCCTTGAATCTGCCCATGTAGACTGGATAGCAGACCCACTGGGGCATCTGGTTGGCTGTTGCAGGAACAAGATGTTGGACTAGATGGGCCATTGGCCTGATTGAGCAGGCCCCTCATATTCTCTCAGGTCTTCATGGTTTTGCATCTCCAGACAGAGGAGGAGGAGAAGGAGAGAAAATATATGTGTGTAGTGCTGGCAACCTTGGGACAGAGGTTCTCCCCTTGTGACTCCAGAGGCTGGAAAAAGGAAAGCAGACCCATCAGCACTCTCCATCACCCCTTCTTTGGAACACAGAGCCTCAGTGGGGAGGTGGAGAGGACTTCAACCCCTCAGTGGCAGAGGCTAAGCAGGAGATCATTGCTGCGGAGCTGGCATCATAGGGGCAGCTGCCTCAGTGGGAAACCTTTAAGCAGGATTTGAGCACAAGAATCTTCTCCCCTCCTGCAGTTTCCAGCCACTGGTATTCAGAAGCATTGCTGCCTCCAACTGTGGAGGCAGGCCATAGGGTCATCATGGCTAGGAGCTATGGATAGCTCTCTTGTCCATGGATATGTCTGATACTCTTTTAAAGCCATCTAGGTTGATGGCCATCAGTCGCTAGTGTGGGTTCCAGAGTTTAACTATGTGCTGCATGAGGGGCCCATAACATGGGAATAGTTTAAAGGACCTGAGAGAGAGGTCTTTAGGGCTTCTCCATTCCTCATGTGGTCCAATAGCATCGTGAGGGCCATAATCTATGATATAAAGGCACTGTGGGAAATTAAAATGGCAGGTACATCTAGCCACCCATAGCACAGCTGTGCTTTTGGCAGCTGTCTCAAGCAGTGTTCACTAACTGAGGCGATGTCTCAGCCGGGAATGCTTCCCCTCAAACCTCGTACCAGTCCTGAATGCAAATACAGTGGTACCTCGGTTTATGAACTTAATCCGTTCTGAAAGTCCATTTTTAAACCGAAACCATTCTTAAACTGAGGAGTGCTTTCCCTAAAGAGGCCTCCCGCCGCCGGTGGCCTTCCACCATTTGGATTCTGTTCTTAGACCAAGGTAAAGTTCTCAAGCCAAGACACTATTTCCGGTTTTGTAACTATTTGCGGAGTTTGTAAACCAAATCGTTTTTAAACCGGGCTGTTCTTAAACCCAGTACCACTATATATTACTGAAGGCTTTTGAGGGTTCCGCCTCACCTCACTTTTTGGAGTTACATATTTCCATTGCTTTTTAAAACTTGTAAATGGTAGCATTCACTTGGACCATGCCAGGAATACTGATCACTCCATACCTGAAATGACATGACACGTTTAATGGCCTTATTGAACAGATGTGTGTCATTATTATTTTTTGCCCTTACGGTAAATGTGCAGTGAGTAAAATTTATATGTTTGTGGGCACAGGTCAAATCAATTTAGCCCAGGGGAAGAGCTAGCCTATTTATTAAATTGAAGTCAAGTAGAGGTCGGGTTTGTCCTCTTTAATTTAGATATGCTCCCTCTATTCATCTTGTGACAAATTACTGGCTGCAGTATTGTAGCTCAAGAGTGGCATTTGTGGGATCCTTTTCTCTTTCTCTCTAGAATCCTGAGGTTCATTAAGATTCAGACACAAAATAGTGGTTCTGTACAAATTTGTGTTTTGTATCCAACTTATAAAACACTTTACAGTTTGAGGCTTTAAAATTCAAAGTTGCGTGCAACAAGATAAAAATAAGATAACATATACAGTGGTACCTTGGGTTAAGTACTTAATTCATTCCGGAGGTCCGTTCTTAACCTGAAACTGTTCTTAACCTGAAGCACCACTTTAGCTAAAGGGGCCTCCTGCTGCCACCGTGCCGCCAGAGCACGATTTCTGTTCTTATACTGAAGCAAAGTTCTTAACCTGAAGCACTATTTCTGGGTTAGCGGAGTCTGTAACCTGAAGCGTATGTAACCTGATGTACCACTGTACATAAAAATAGATTCTAAAACCATTCCTACAGGTGTACAAAAATGCATTTACATTAGGGAAACTGCTTGCAAAAAAAATATCTGTGCAATTGGGGGAAATTGCATAGAAAAATGTATATGTCTGATGAATTTTAGTGAGGACTTTAATTTTTTAAGGTTGAAAAACTGAAAGAAGCCTAAATTGACAGTTTCTCCCAGCTTTACCCAGAACTGGTTGAATTACTGCAGAAACAGCATACTGATTTATTAGTATTAGGTTAATGGTCAATATGAGTACTGTCCTTTTACCTTATGAAAGGACTCAGAGTGGGAAAACAGCAGACACCTCACCCACAAGCAGAAAAACCTGTAAAGTCATGGAGATGAACCTGGAGGTCCTCAGAACTGCTGTAAATGAGGATCTGATTGCAAACAGATGAAGCTTGTGCTGTAATTGGTTTTACAGATGCAGTAAGCAGGGTCATGGGCTCTGTGCTGGGGAGTTTTAGAGCAGCAGCATTGGGTTCTTGACCTCTGGGACATTGTTAAGCCACTCCTTACTTTGACCTCTCCTGGAACCTGTGTAATTGAGTCTAAGTGGCCTCAACTGGTCTCTAGATCAGTGAAACCACATTGCTTGGAGTGATTCTTCCTCCTCCTCCTTCTATGGTGTGTGGGTGGAAAGGAGAGGGGAACAAAAGGGGGCTGAGGCATCTGACATCAATTAGAATGCCTCCTTTCCATTTAATCTATTCAGGATGGAAATACCAACGAAGCAGGTGAGTGGAATTCTTATGCATTACCCCAGAATGTCCAGTTCTGGTGGCCTGGGACTGATTTAGATGAAGGAACTCTATATAGCAAAGATTGTGCTTAGTTAATACAAGAAGCTGATTTCCCTTTTGCGGTGGACCAAATTGTCTTCATTGCTAATAAAAATTCTACTGAGAAATTTTGTGCTGATACCATTAAAAGCATAACTTTTTGTTTTTAATGGTTAAGCATTCAGATTTCTTTTCTGAGTATCAGGATATCTCCACGCCATCAAACTTCCTCTCCAAATGCCATTTTTGGTGCTTTTTATGCTGTGGAAAAAGCAGAAGATTAAACTTTTTTTTTTTAAGTGTCATGTCCTATCTACAGAAATGAAACTTTTTTTTCTTTTTAATTGTGTGTCTGTTTTAAATATTAAACACTTTTCTCAAGCCCCTGCACTAGGCATTTTTATTTTATTTATTAAATTTCTATACCGCCCTACATCCAGGGATTTCAGGGCCTTTAATATTAGTTGCAAAGTGGTACTACAGCTGTAACAGAACTGGTATAATATTGGCTCCTGGGTGAGCAGCTAGTCAGTTGATGTAAATTACTAATCAGATCTGTGGACACACACAAATTAAGAACAAAGTAAGCCCATTGAAACCAACGTACCTAAGTTAGCTATCTCTACCAATTTCAATGGATAGGCTCTGAGCAGGACTAACAATAGATCCAAAGTATTATTTCTTAAGCAAGAAGCAAATTTATTCTTGATAGACATATGCAGTGATAATTGGTGCCCACCCCCAATGAGGGAAAACCACCATCTCAAGGGAGGCCTAAACAAACAGAATCAAACTTCTGACGTGGGTCATTCTGAAAATTAAATAATCAACCAATACTGATCTAGATGGACCATTCAGTGAAAACAGAATGCTGACTGATTGGGCAGTGAGGGGGGAAGACATGGAAAGTCGAAAGTGGAATGGGATGGAGCATGGGTAGGCAAACTAAGGCCCGGGGGCCAGATCCGGCCCATTCACCTTCTAAATCTGACCCACGGACGGTCCAGGAATCAACGTGTTTTTACATGAGTAGAATGTGTCCTTTTATTTAAAATACATCTCTGGGTTATTTGTGGGGCATAGGAATTTGTTCATTTTCTCTCTCCAAAATATAGTCCGGTACCCCACAAGGTCTGAGGGACAGTGGACTGGCCCCCTACTGAAAAAGTTTGCTGACCCCTGGGATGGAGTATCCAGGAAATGGGCACGGTGGTTGGCCAAGCTCCTGAAGAGGAGCTCCATCCTGCAACATTTTGTTGCAGGCTTCACTAGTTAGTGAAAGAGATAATGCATGTTAAAGATCATCCTGCAAGCTTCATGGCTGAGTAAAGATTTGAACCCAGGTGTCCCCCACACCATGGACAAGCTGGACTCTGCCATTGTCTCCCAGTTCTTCTCAGATTTATCTGAAGTGAAAGTTATCCTGTGCCAATTAGCTGGATTTGTCAAAACAAGAGGCCAGTCTGGAGTCCTTAGTGTTTCGTCCCCCTTAGCAGACTAAGCCTTTAAGCTGCTAAAGTCACACTGAATGGGCATCTTTGGTGGGTCTTATTTTTAATAAGCAGATTACAGGCCCACCCTTGATAGGTCGCCTGTACAACCTTGTTAGCCTGTTGATATTTTCATAGCCTTAATTCTGTAAATGAGCGGACACCAAGGCAATCTCATGATGCCATGTAATGGGCCCTGTCTTTCATCCCACAGTTCTGGCTTGCACTTGGCAGATATTGGTTTAACTTGGGTTTTTTCCACCAACCGTTAATGCCTTGACTTGTATCCAATGCAATATATATCTCATGAACAGAACACTTGGGAGTTGCACAAATGGGTGGCAATGTGTCTGTTTGCTTGGCTTAGAGGAGAAATTCAATTCACTTTTAAAGGTCAGCTTGCCTACTTCACACTTTCTGAAACAATAAGCAAACTGCAGCACAATCAGCTTTTGATATTCACACTTTTCTGAATTTTGCATTGCAGTTCTTCAGCAATGTAACATGTACAGTAATTTATAAACTTGCGAAAAGTGTGTGAATATATTAGTGTAAATAACATACAATTTTTTTTTATATTAGAGTAAATTGCAGTAAAAGTGTGTATTGAAGCAGTGCTTCTCAGATATGGTGGGCAGGCAATCCTCCCCCCCCATATGTCAGGGACCGGTACCATATTTGGTCCCTGAAGCATCCCAGCCCACCTGGCACTGTGGTGGAGTCACCACAAACTGGCAGCTGATGACTCACAGTAGCACTGTATTAAAAGGAATCCACACTAAAAAAAACCCGGTGAATGTTCAAAAGGACTTTTAAAAATAGAATTCACAAGCTGATATGTGGAACAGCAGAGAACTGAACTTCACACTAGAAAAATGAGAAGAGCAGAGAATACAAAATTGATGGATTCACACCTTCATGTAATTATGATCATGCAAGGACCATTGAAAACAATAATTGGCTGTAGAATTATTTTTAAAAATTGGGAAATGATATACAATGAACTGAAAAAAAAATGTTTAAAATGACATTTGTAAAAATGCCAGAAGCCTTTTTTATATGTATTTTAGGTCAAGAATTACCAAAGGGGAAATGCAAGTTATTTATGTATGTGACAACCGCGGCATTAACTTTAATAGCTCAAAATTGGAAATCTGGAGGAACACCAACAAAAGAACAAGGGCAAGAAAAACTGGTGGACTATGCAGAAGTAGCAAAGTTAACAGACAAACTACATGAAAAAGATAACAGTGACTTTAAAAAGGAATTGGAACCATTTACAACTTACTTGCAGAAACAACAAAAAGAGATGGACTGACTGGCAGGATTTGAATAAACTTTCACAACTTTATTGGATTTAAACATAGAGGATGACAATGTGACAACATTTAATAATTTATATACATGCAGAATACAACAAATAATGTAACAAAGCAGAAGGGGGAGTTGAGGGAACTCAGGCGGGGAGGGAGAATTGGAAAATGGTATGTGATATTTGCAATTACAAAATCTTAATAAAAATATTATTATTTTAAAAAAAGAAAACAATAATTTGCATTCATCGTTGTTGAGCATTAGTATCACTGGACATATGCATCACTCAGGTAGCATTTATAGTTGTCCTGTGAGGGCCTATATAGTCTCTGTGTAAGGGGAAACTGTGGTTCTCCAGCTGTTGGACTCCATCATCCCTGACCCAATGGCCATGCTAGTTGGGGCTGATGGGAGTAGGAGCCCAGAAACATCTGAAAAAGCTGCTGGTCCTCATCGCTGAACTAGAAAGAGTGAGCACATAGAGCAGAGTGTCTTGATAATCAATCCCTCTTCCTGGGGCACTCTGAGAATTATAGTCCTGTGAGGGCAGTAGCAGTCTCCTAATAAATCTCAGCACCTTTAACAAACTATAGTTTCCCGAAAAATCTTTGGGGGAATCCATGACTGTTTAAAGTAGTATCATAGTGCTTTAAAGTGCCTGTGCCACAGTACTGCTGTATTCTATTCAGGCACGTCCAACAGGTAGATCACTGGACATCTGTGGTAGATCACTGGTTCCCCCCAAAGAAGCTCAACAAGTATGGCTCCTCTAAAAAACCTCAACATTTCTGCCCTGCACCCCAAAAAACATGGCTCTCCCCTTTCCTTTCCTTTCCTTTCCTTTCCTTTCCTTGACCTGGACCTCTAAAAACTTTGACCCCCCCAAAAAAGTGGGTAGATCACTGCCAGTTTTTAACTCTCTTGGGAGTTGGCCACCCCTAATAAACCACTTACTTTAAAGCAGCATTTTATGACTTTTTAAAAGAGGTTGTTCCCTTTGTTCCATGTTGGTGATTACTATGGGTTTTAACAAAACAAAACAAAAAACCTGCTGGAAATAGAAGTTGTAATGCTGGTTTCTTTAATGCTATAGCAGACAACCTTGAATAAGGGATGTGCTTGCAAATTTTGTTTCATCTGCATTTGTAAGCAAACCAACCTTATTTCCATTTCCCAAACAAAGCTATCCTTTAGATTGTGCAGTTCTCGCGTGTGTGTGTGTGTGTGTGTGTGTGTGTGTGTTTGAATCTTTTAGAAGGAAATGTGTACTATTTAAAAGCAAATTTTCATGTAGTTAAAAAGAACACAGCCGCAGAAAGCAAGACAGACATGAGATAGTATGGAAGCAAAACTTACAGACTGGAAATAGACTGACCTCTCCATCCCTGCATTGAATCAATGTTTAGATAAGAGAAGTAATAATCATCCTTATGGTAAATAAATAAAATAGTAGAAACAGCTGTATGGGAATGACCTAGAGTGAGTGGTTGAAATAACTATTGGCAATAAATCTGCTGGATCCTGAAGTCTTATGTGCTGACTTTAGGAGGGAAATGAAAAAGACCACAAGGGTCAAAGGTCAGCTTTCACTCTTCATCTCTCCCACCTTCCCCACTTCCCCTTAATTTTAAGTGCTGTCATTATCACTTGACATCCCTTTCATCTTCTGTGACTTAGTCTAGGTAAGTCCTATGCCTGAACTGATCATTTGCAGGGGCCCCAGTTCCATCAACCTCCCATCTCCCACTTGTCACTGTCAAACTTGTAAATCACTTGTTCATCTTTCCAGCACATTGTTCAAAGCCTTTGCTAAGAATGAAGCTCCTTAAGTTGTAGAAGGCCAAGTCTGCACCATATATTTAAAGCACTATAATAGAATCGTTGAATCCCATGATTCAGTTGTAGAGTTGGAAGAGACCACAAGGATCATGTAATCTGCAATGCAGGAATATTTTTAGCCTTTTCATGGGTTCCCTCAAAGAATCCCAGGAAACATAGCATGTTATGGGTGCTGAAAGTTGCTAGGAGATCCCTGGAAGTGTAATTGATGGTTAAAACCACTGAGGAAATTGTTGCTCCATGAGGGGAATAAGGGTCTCCTAACCACTCTCAGCACCCTTAAGATACCACAGTTTCCAGGTTTATTTGTGG